CTAATGGCACTCATGTTGGAAAATACACCATTTTTGCCACCTCAGAATGTTTAATTGAATAGTGCTGCCTATAGAAATGGGAGCACCAAACCAGTACTGCATGATACTATGCCCGATGTCTATAACTGTGAACCTGATTTTCAGAGGCAGAAGTCAGGAAAGATGAAAACACTACAGAAATGTTTCTATGAAAACACTTTAAGCTTTATACTATAAAGCTAAATTGGTAAGACACTAGACTTTAAGCATAATCAGAATCTGGCCCAGAATCCTCTAAAGTGCCTAGTACCAGTGCCCTTGCACACAGAATCTACAAATACTGATTGAGTAGTTAGTTCTATTTGATCACCCACCATTTCAGAAAAATATGTCATTTTAAGAGAATTCTTCCTGAAGCAAAAATGTGAAATGTCATAAAAATGTAAGTAATGACCTTTGTTAAGATTTCAAGGTCACCAATGGTTGTGCATTTAGGAAATCATTCAATGTGCATACAAAGTCCTTTTATATATTCCAATATAATTTACATGCAGACAAGTTTTTGCAGGGTGATATAACCCTCAAGGAGATATCCAAGATTTTGTTTTTTAGAATATTTTATAACATATCCCTAGTACATCATAAGTTAATAGATCCTCAGTAAATCATAAGTCAGTCTTAACTTTTGGTTTACTTTATTAGAGCAACAGCGGGCACTTCTCTCAGAAGTGGAGAACCTAACAATACTAGTAAATGCTCAGTATTATTTGGAAGAAAAGAAAAATAAAATGCTCAGAAGTTTCAGAAGTTAGTTTTCAGATCATGACACACTACACACTCTTAACTACCTAAGCGTGGTTAGCCTTGCCGGGCAGGTTGCTGTGTCAAAGTCAAGGTGCACAGGCAAAGACGGAGGCAGCTTCATTTTTCAAATTGACTTTGAAAGTCTTAATGATATATGTACATTTCATGAAAATATGAGCCCTAGTATAATGGTCTGTTCTCCTTAGACAGATGGGACTCAATTTATGTTCTATATGATTGTACCCCAGAATTTCATACTTAAGATGTTTGTCATAAATATAGTTAATCTATTATTTTATGAGGGATACTAAATCTCAGCCTCCTGGATTTGGATAGATGTATGCCAAATTTATGATGGTGCTCATCTATAAATGACAGATGCTGCCAAAGCAGAAAACTATCATTTTTTTTTCCTACTCAACACCACAAGGTCCTGTTGCTGGAGACAGACAGGGGGGAAGAGGCAGTTACGAAGACCTTGCTAGCTAATCGATGGAGTCCTGCGGCAGTCAGCGGAAATGAGAAGTTGTCATTTGGAAAACCTGGCCCCATTTGTAACAACACATAAAAACTGTGGAACACGCAGGGGAACCCATAAAAATGACGAGGCGAGGGTCTGTATTTGTATCCTTGGCAGAAAAACTCTTGGACAAAATTGAAAATGCTCTTTCATAAGGCAACAGGGTGATCATAAAAAGCTGAACTGCAGCCTTTGCAGGCAAATCACATGGATCTATTGGTTGATCACTGCTCTGGGTTCACACCCAAGAGACTGCACCATGCAGAAGGACAACATACTGAAAGGAGCTGTTTTGAGATATCCTATCTTCTTTCCTTCCTTCTTATGTCTTTTCTGACATTGTCATCTCATCGTCTGCATGGTATGGTCATGGGTATGGGATAAATAAAATAATCTCCATCTCCTCAGTGGAAATATTTTAGATGGAATGATTCCAAATGTTACTGAAAATTTGGATAGTGTTTAGAACAACTCAACTGGACACCCTAGGAGACAGTTCAAGGCTCGTGCCATACTGACGATGCCCTTCCCAATGTTGATCTCTATCTCAGCCAGTATATTTGGCTTAGACACATAAAGTCTACAATTGTCAAGCTGGAGTTTTGAGAACATTTGTAATTTACCTGAAATGAGTGTTTTCATTCAAACATGTCCTTGAAAAGATCTGTAAGTTCTAAAGCTTTGCTCTATTATGGTTAAATGCTACAAACAACATACTTCATAGGAATGAAAAATTATCAATAAAACAATGCCTTAATGGCCCTTTCAATACCATAGCTCCTACTAAAAAATATCAACAGTCAGCAAGCAATTTAAAAGTAACATATGGTCCTACCCACTAATTCTTTAAAAAGTGTTTTAGTGATCTGACTTTGCCCATTGGGATACTTGTATTTTCTCCCCCAGGTAAGAGAGAGAAATTTAGAAGTAATGGGAATAACATAATATGCAAGGGGCAAGGAGTCCCTAGTCCTGCTCTAACCCCTGGGATATGAGTTGTGGACCTCACACAGACCATTTAACCCTTCCAAGACCCCAGGTTCTTCATTGTTACCTTGGTAGCAGCTCAAGGTTTCAACTATTATTTTTCTTTGTAGTCCAAATATCCAACACAATAAAAAAACACACACATGCTAGGTTAGAAATTCTTTTAGGGCAAGAGAATTTCTTTCTGTTCACTGATGCATCCCAGCACCTGGCAAAATATACAGATGTACTATACTCCATAGTACAATAATATCTATTTGTTGAGTAAGTAAATGGATATGAAGTTTGTTGTATGAATCAATGAAAGATGAATACTAATTTCAGCCCTACCAACTACAGGGTTGTGGAGAGGGTCATATGAAAACTTATATGTGACTGAATCTTATAAACTGAATAAATTTAAGGTGTTCCTAAATTTATAAAAATATCTGTAGCATTTTAAGTCATTCCATTGGCATTCATCTATTTAGACAGCAACCGACTAACGGCTGTTTAGCTCTACGTAGCTTTACATACTTTGGAGAACTAGAAATGTATCTTCTCAATCTTGATATCTAATTGATATCTATTGCTAAAGCCTAGACAGATGGACCATTAGGTTCACTATCAAAATATTTTATCATTAGGTTGATTATCACAATATTTTATTATTTTCAAGAAATAAGGTTTTTCAAAGGCTCTTTTTTTTTTGAACCTGCTATGAGTGGTTAAATGCTGTCACAAAAGAACATTCCATTTGATGTATGGGGCATATTATCACAGGGAGGTGTATTGTCATATGGCATTATGGCACTTGAACTCCAGGGAGAAATTTGGGTAAAGTGTCTGGCCAATATGTTCTCACCAACTTCCTAAAGCTGCCTAATGCTTGCTGTGTTTTGACCCCAATTCTCCCAAAGCACATTTCTCCTCCTTCCTACTATGGTTTGAACTCCCATTAATGTGTCATTAAAAGTTGGGATAGATCCTAGGAGACCATAAAAGACATTTCTTTGGATTTTACATTTAATTCTACGCCAACTTCTAAAATATGAACAGGACAGCTCTTCTTACTTAACTGCCTTTAATGAAACATATTTTTTTTCTAATCGAGTATATAATCCAGATAATACAATCTTTGACAGAGTATTGTTTCATAGAAGCAACAATATCCTATAAAAAAATAAAACCAGGCAGGAGGTCCAGAGATGATGAATCTTGTTCTTCCAAACACTGGGTAACCTCCAGCAAATAACTGCCACAGCAGGGACCTGGCCTCAGTGTGCTGCTTTGTAAACTTGAGATAACATTTGACCTTAATACCTGATCAACCTGGGTTAAAATTAATTAGATTATTTATATATATGTTCTGTTCTTTGAAAAGAGTGTGATAAAATAATCCACTATTTATTACCTATTCATTAAATAACACAATTCAGTGATTCTATGACATAAAGAACAAAAATTCTTTATTACCAAGTTTGGAGTAGCTTCCTCCTAGACTGCAGAGCTTTGGAACCAGTATTTATGGGGTCTAACTAACAAAAGTCTTTTCCTACACAGTCTCTTTAGCTAAAGGGGCTTTTGTAAACTTTCCTCTTACAGTAATGAAATGATTCTCCAATGGCCTTGGGCAGCCCCAGGAAAGCATTCTGGAGTCTCTTCCACAAACCATACAGTAATGTGAAGAGCAGAAGAGAAGTGTGTGTGGGTGTGTGCGTGTGCATGTGCGCATGTGTGCATGTGTGCGTGTGTGTGTGTGTATGTGTTTCTAACAACAGAGAGGTGTCTGAAGAGAGAGGCAAACAGAGAAAGGGATATATTCTTTTTGTCTCCTTTAATAGACACTGGTCCTCAACTAGCCACTAAAACAAGATGACTCATCCATCTTGGGCCCTGAAGATGACTCATCCATCTTGGGCCCTGAGGGCAGGTGTGAGTGTGTGAAAGCCTAGTAAACATCCAGTTTCATGGTGTACATGCTAGAAAAATGAATGTTTCCTCTTCTCTCTGAATCATTTAGTTTTAACTGACTCAGAAAAATTGCTGATTCACTGGGACTGTGAAATATGGGCTCTTCTTAAAACGTACTTCTACTAGTGGCCCATTTCCAAGTACCAAAGCTCTGCTGTTAGTTAACTCACTGCTTTGTACATAGTTCCCTTAACTCCTAGAGTTCATTTGTAACTCTGAGGGAAACTCTCAGAGATCTTCAAAAAGCAAATATAGAGCATGTTTTCAGATTCATTTAATAATGCCACTCTCTCAGAAAACTTTGCCATTTTGCTCCTCCACTCCCCTTCATTGTGGTAAAAGAACACAAAAACACGTATTAGTAGATAAGTTTAAAAATTCCTTCACTGAAAAAAATCTAGAGTAAAAATCAAACATAAAATGAATAGAAAGGAATCATAAAGTCAAGTCAGTATTTTAGATCCATTTCTTGATTTTTGTCTAAACACACTGTGACCAAGCAGACCATATATACATATTTATATATACATATTTATGCACACATATATACTTAAATGTATATATTTAACAACATGGAATGGTAATATACCAAATGCTTAGATTCCATGCAAACACATAACCTCCTGTGAAGGAAACATATTAATATTATAAAAACAAATCATGGAGAAAACATGCAACAGCTGAGCGGAGGAGAATGGGGTTGGGGCAAGGGACCAGGGGAACACAAAGAATGTAAAGAACAAAAAGTGTCATTGACCTGATTTGTCAGAGCTGTTGCCTGTGAGTGGAGTGATGGAGCAGCTGGGGTTAGCCTTTGCGCTGTCCTTGGAAGAAACCATTTTGGGTTTAGTTTTCGTTGCCTCTAGTGCTTTGACCTTCTTGGCATGTTTACTTCCTTTGTAGTGGGCCTCGGCCTGGCTCTACAAAGGAGAACAAATCAGGCTCATTTCTTTTGGCTACTTACAAACACCACAATGGATGATCATGCAGGAAAATATACATTCAATCATATGCAACATGGACATTTACCACTCAGAACTTGGCTACGTTTTGGCATTTAATGAAGTGGTAGAACAGTACCTAAGAGGTTTTTGCATATTGAAACCCTCTCTATAACAGGGAAGACCCCTGTCTTTGAGAACCAGAGGACAACAGGGCCAGCACAAAATTGTGACAAAGGTAAGCTTTGATAGCAGTGCCTTCTACACTGTCCGATGGGGTTACTTTTCAAACATTTAGCTGGTAGCAAGGTGCTTTGAGTGTCCTACCCATGCATAGCCTTCCAAACCATTTCATTTTGTTTCCTCCTTCAGCTAAAACCTGTCTGCCCTGAATCTAGTTTCTTCTGGACTCTGCTCTGAGAGCAAGTGATGTAACAAAGCAACTTGCTAGTGAGTGAAGATGGCACCGCATTTTGGAGTCATCTACATGTGTTTCATATAACATTTTGATGATTTCAGTTCTGAAATAGGTGATGTAAGCCATAAAGGGGGTAGGGACAGTCATTGTTTATGATTTCTGATGTGATTCTGAAGTCTAAGCAGTTATTGTTACATTCACATATACATGAAGCATGGGTAGAACTGTGACTTCAATATTGGATCAAAAGGAAGAAAAGAGATAAAGACAAGTGACTGTTAAAAACTTTAAAAAGACAAAAACAAATTACAGCAAAACAAGAAAACATTTAGTCAATTTACTGACATTTGGAAAATTCCCCTCTGACTAAAGAACAAGGATTTTATTTTTTGGCATCAAGTACTAATATAGAGACTAATAAAAGAATATGTATATTCACTTTGATTTCATTTTGAATAGACCCTGAAAATATAAATATCCACTTGGTGAAAAAATTCAACATACATTATATGACATATTAGCTTACTTATAAAAGTGAAGTGAATAATACAACTATCAGATAAAATTAGTTTTTGTGAGAGGATTTCTAAAGTAATAACACTTTTACATCAGTTCTCCTTATATAACTTTATGTGTTTGAAGATTACTATACCAAAGCTTTCATTCATTTTCCTCAACAAGCAGGATATAAGTGGTGTGTGTGTGTATGTGTGTGTGTGTGTGTGTGTGTGTGTGTGTGTGTGTGTGTGTTTATCTGTGTAGGTAGGTAGGTAGAACTGACAATAGACACAATGAGCCAGGTTATAATTCTATGTTTCAACAACAGATATATAAGTCATTTTTCTAGTGTATAACCCCAATCACCCAAGGTCAGTGACCTTGTATTGACTGTACACAATCCCTAACTTCCTGAATATCAATCCATAAGTGTTGTTTTAGATCATCATTGACTTATCATTGCTCTTTGTTGGTTTTCTCAGGGACTTCTCATTATGTATTCTGTTGAGCTGGAAAAATTCCAAGGGAGGAGAAAAGTGTAACATTATTTAAGTCTTATTTATTATCAACCAAGAATGGTTAAATCCAGCTAATATAGCTGGGTAGGTATAAACTAAGAAAATATACAAATACACATTTAAAAATTGATAATGTGAAGTGATAATAATAATGAATAATATTATAAATCCTTTGCCAAATGTAGTTCTAAATGTATTAAATGTATTAGCTCATTTAATTCTCATAATACTTTGTAAGGTAGGATTATTAGCCAGTACATTACAAATAAAAACCGGCACAGAAAAGTTAAATAACTTATCAAAATTCACAAAGGTAGGTGTAGAAGCCATTTTGCAGATTGAAATGCTTATATGTGTATCCCTATTTAATTATATACCCATACACTATACATATACATACTCACACTGATGTAACATGATTTTATAAGGAGTGAAAAATTATACAAACAAAACACACTTTTAATCGCTTAGTAAAAGATTATATTTTAATAGAAGTTTCTTTGAGTATGGAATACCTACTTAATTCGTGGGAAATGTACTAGCATAACATATTAGGCCTGATCCTTGTGATAAGTAGCTAAGAAAAGTCCCACTTGTTAGGTATATAATAACTTCTACAGATATTAGGAGACCTCCTCCTCTTTCCAAGTATACTGAATAGCGAGATGTTTACTTTAGTGTCCTTTGGCTAAAGAAACATACGGTTCTCAAAATAAAACCTCCTCGCACAAGAGAAGCAGAGTGTCATTTCCTCATTACTGGCATCAATGCAGAAAGTTAACAGCATCAGTTAGCACCTGGGATAAAGATCCAGCTAAATGATACCTCACTGGATGCCAAGATGGAAAGAACTGTCCATAGCCATGATTCACTTTCCTTTTGAGTTCTGCTAATGGAGAGAAGTACAAGGATTCTTAGCTTCTACTGATCATTGTTTGGGAAATTTCCTGGAATAAAGCAGTGGCAGGCACCACTCACTCACATTAGGCATCCTTTCAATGCCCCGGTGGTATTCTCGGTATTAGCACTTTGCTATCCCCGCTACTGTATCTGAGGCGGTGTCAACAGCTTCTAAATCCTTGGCAAATCTTCAAGTGAAACTGAGACGCCATTAATTAGTAACATGATTAACCTGACTTAATTATCTAGGAATCTCCTTATTTGAGAAGTGAAAGAAATAAGGACAAGAGCCAGAAAACCCATGAACGAGGCAACACAATCAAGCTCAATCAGCAATGGCTCTTGTATCACTTCTAAGAGACCTGGTTGACCAAACTGACTTGTACTTTACACTTTAATGACTAACCAGCAGACACATATTTGTCTAGCACTAATGGCTTGTTTTCTGCTTCCACTCCAAAAGTGATACTGTGCTCCCGACCAGAGTGATCAAAAAAACCTCTTGCCAAGAACTGCCAGAATTAGAGAGTTGTCTAAACCACCATTCTGACCTCCATGCAAGAATTCATTGGTATCTAGTATCTCCTCTCAGAGGTCACTCTGGTAGCCACCTGACCACCCACTGGTAGAGAAACAGCATTGACAGGAAATGATTTTTTTTCTTTCATTCATATCCATTTTTGTTGCTAAAGCCATTCACTTTCCTGAATCCTCTACAATTCGTGGGACCCTACTGGTGCAAACAAAAAAGATGAATAATGAAAATGTATCGCTTTAAAAATAAAAATAGAATCATAAATTCTAAAATTCACCATGCTCTCATTTTAGTTCTTATCTTATTTCTAATTTGTGCTTCAGAGAAGTGGCTAGGATGTTGAAACATGATGTTTTGAATGTGGTCACTTTGTAGAGAAACTCACAAAGTGTCTGGGAAAGGACGATATCACAGGAGAAAGTCCTCAACTATTTATTTACCAATTAAACCATTTGTTTTGCATTTCAAAAAGTAATTTGAACTATTCCTTTAATCTAAAAAAGTTCATCATTAAAACTATTGGCATCTTCTTTTATTCTGAGGCAAATTTCAATGTGTTAAGCAGCGTTATATGGGAAATAGCAGAGGCCAGTTAATTTTCTGAAAAACTCTATACACTAAAATGCCAAACATAACAGATGTCAAATGAACTGGCGTAAAAAGAGGCTAAACTAACAAGGGGAAAACCTGATAATTCATTCCACAAGGAATTATTTAGCACCTGTCTTGTGCTAAACATTGTGAAAGTTTAAAAGCAAAGACCCCTACTTGCAAGATTGGTAAGAAAAGACATGCATACAAATAACTCGAACCCGAAGCAGAGAGTGGAAGTGTAAATGGGAGGTAAAGAGCAGCAGAGGCTTATGGGCAGGGAAGGAGAGGTTCATCTCTTCGGATTGCAGGGGATCACCAAAACTTCATGAAAAGGGGGCGTGAGAGCTGTGTCCTGCTCTGGGACAGAGTTCCGAAGTGGCAGTGTGAAAGGGAGGTACGTCAGGCAAAGGGAGCAGAAGGTGCTGGGCAGTGAAGTTCTGTGAACTATGCAATGTTTCTTAAGCAATGCACCTTTCCATGTCACAAGAGCACAGAGATAAAAGGAACAACAGGGAAGGGCTGCCACGTTGTGCTACCTCAAAAATTATCTGCTGTAAAAGAAAAAACGCAATAGCTGTCTAAAATTTTTTAAAAGAAGTTCTATTGGTAGGCACCTTGCAGAGACGGTTATGAAAATGTTGCTTTTATGTCACAGATTTTATCCTCCAAACTATAAGCATATATTAAAAGAAAAAATTATTTATATTAAAGCTTTCATAATTATTTGAGATAAAAGCATGGAATTTGAAATACTATAGTTAAACCTATTAAGAAACCAACTAAAGATTACTGAGTAATAGCTAGATGATTACTTGAATCTTTGCTTTAATAGAAGACTATTTTTAACTATTAAAATGCTCTTTGCATATACTTGTTGCACTGACAAGACCACACACACTCTCAGAGATGAAGCTACATCATAAGATGCACTCAGAAGGAAAGCTTATGCAATCCAAAGCCTGCAGGTAAGTCTTTCTGCGGATACTTAAAACAAGACCTGCAATGTCAGTAATGCCATACTACTGGCTTTGATATTCACTTCATTCAATCTTCATCTACTATGACCTGTTGAAAACAAAGTCTAGAAAAAAATTATAACCATTATGAGATTTTTAGCTTAAAAAGATACAATTTTCTTTGCTAATTTCTAATTTCTAGCTAAGTGAAACACTTCAGGTTACAATGGCTTGTCCAGGGCCACTACATTACATAACTCTCTGGGGGTGGAGGGCACTCACATGTATAATTCAGTGTGGATGGTGTCCTCTGATTCCTGCAAGGTCATAGTTCTGGCTATGGCATGCCATATTTACTGGCTTTATAATATATATGTAAAAAAAACCCATCAACTCCAAATATTTCTATATCACTAAAGACAAAAGTGGTAGCATCTAGGAAGAAAATTATGTGCACTCTAGACTACTAATTTTGGCCTACTTTAGATTCTATCAAATATCACAAGACAGAAGTAGCGTTCATGGGTTGGAGATGATTTATAATGCCACTATTTGAATAC